AAGTTTGCCAACATTTGTTTCAGTTCAGCTCTCTTAAGGTCCCACCACAGCATTTCAATCAAACAGAGCTCTGAACTTTGATTAGATCCTTACACACTTTCATTCTTTTCTCTTTGAGTCGTTCTGCTGTAAAGTCACTGTTGTGTTTGTGGTGATTGACCTGGTGCCTCATGTTGACCCTGGTCGGGTCAAGCTTTAGCTGTTAGACAGATGGCCTCACACTTGACTCTAGAATACTTGGTGCAAAACAGGCCCAAAGCATCAGCCCTCCACCCCCGTGCTTGGCAGTTGGTGTGAGGTGTTTGTGTTGCTTGTATTCTCATGAATAATGGCTTGGTGGAACCTGTTCTTGTGCACTTGAGATTTTATTTGAATACACTTAGAACCTGGTAAAGACACCGTCATTTTATTATATCCCGATGTAAAAATAAACGAACAGACTAGAACGAAAAGAGGGTAAAAGTTATTTTTCCAATTACTTTAAAACCTAAAAGGAATATTTCCACGTTCCTTACTGTTTTTTAATAATGGATTAATATTTTGACTATTTCATATTTATAAAAGTTTGACCTTAACCTGTTATTACAAAATGTTTGAGATATTCTTAACTTTTTGAACAGTGCAAGCCTTGGCACACCCAGTATGTGTTTAAATCCTGCAGGCTGACTCCACTACAGTTTCATCCTGCTGATAAGCCTTTTTTTCTGTCTGTGCTCTTCAAAATAATATAGATTTTTCTTGTCTTTCATGCACAGATTAATCCTCTACATTAAGTTTCAATAGTTGGCATCCTATGAATTGATGTGCTGTTTTGATACAGTAACTGTAGTGTGCGCCCGAATCATCCCTGCATGTTAAGGCTGGTTCAGACTTTTATTTCTTTCAGTCAAACTTGGGAAAACACGTTCCATTTTATGTCCCATTCAATTATTCTCTAAAATAGAATGAGTGAAACGATGCATTTCCCTCAAAGAGTGGGCTTGTGCCAGGTAACTGTCAGGAGTTTAATTTGAGGGTAATGACATTCTTTACCTGATGCTCCTGTTATTAATGAGCAGCACAGCAGACCTCAGCAGGGTCTTCAGCTACTGCAGGTTATTCCAGAGTGTTTTCAACAGCCACTCCGGTGCATGAGCTCAATTCTCTGTTTAATTGGGCTCATTAGACGTTGCAGTGGTTCAGCCTAAGATTCACTTATAAACTGGATACACTGGCAAATTGAATCCATTGTTTCAACTTAAATTATTAGTGAAAAGGCTGTTGTCAAATTCCACATAAGGTTAAAAAAAAGTTGTTCCACTAATAATTCTTTATATACAGTAGTCCCTTGTTTATCGGGGGGGAGCCGTACACTGAAGACCCGTAATAAGTGAAAAACCGCAAAGTACAAGTAGTAAGTAGTAGGTTATTTTAGTATATATATATATATAGATATATATATTAATATAGATATATATAGATATATGTATA